CGATTGGAAACTGGTGAGTGCTAGGCAGTTGTTTTGTCTTAGCTTGGTATTCTTTGGCAGTACACATCTCCTGGGATTAGAAGCAGGACTTTCTGGCTCCAAGATGAGCTCGCAGACCATTCCGAATTCGTGAGATATCAAATTCTCAACCAACGGCTGAATGGTAACAATGTTTGTTGAAGTTATGGATGCATAATGTTAGGAGGAAACAGATAGCTTTCTAAATGATATCAGGAATCAATCGATGAATTTAACTTTGGAATACAAACTGAGTTTTCCTTATATGAGTTTGATAACATCCTTGGAAGGTTGGTATATTCTACTAGTTTAGATGAATTGTTGGAAATTAGTCGAGTCAAAAAGTTGTGCTCACTAGTTAGACACAGAGTGATGCAGTTCTAAACAGTTGTTTCTCCTCCAAATCCTCACTGATAATCCTCTTGATTCTGGTGAACTAGATCATATGACATACTGCGAAGAGTGAGAAAATGAGCATATGTTGGATTGAAAAATAGACCACAGTAGAGTTGGGTTTTACAAACGATCTGTGTTCAAGTGTTGGTTTAAAGAGATTTGAGAGGTTTCAAGATTTCATCATGATCTGACATCAGTTAGAGAGAGAGTCGTTGGAAAATATGCAAGGAGTACTGGACAGTGGTTTCCTCCTAGTTTCGGAATCTTCATCAGTATGCCCCCACAGAGGTTCGAACCCTGAACCTTCTGGTTACAAGGCGATTGAGCTCGTAGACACTTAAGCTACTGGTTGGGCATTTACCTGGGTTTTAGTGAGAAGTCGTAACTGATGGGCTACGGTGGGTCTGGTGTGAGGACAAATACTCATCACTGATGACAGTAGCAAGCAGTCGCGCTGCATCGTGAATTGACAGAAGTCTGAATTCATGGACCGGCCATGTGATTGGGTCCCAATGGCTTAATAGTTTACGAGCTCGCCTTGTAATCAAAGGGCCCAGGGTTTGAATCCCATGTGGTGGATGCGTACTGCTGAAAAGTGATAAACTTTGGCGAAACTGCTGTATAGTACTCCCAGTTGGTTTTTTCAAAGGTTCTCCAACCGATGTCAGTTCATGATGCAATTCTGAAATGACCGATGTCTCGTATCACCAGGTGAAAATAAAGAAGACAAAGGTAATGAAGATATCCATCCAACAATCACAACAACAACAGGCAACAATCATTGTCAATGTAAGAAATCCAAAAGTATTCATCTGTCGCAATCACTTGTCGTAGGCAGAGTTTTTAATTCAACTACTCGTGACAGAGATGAGGAGATGTCAAAGCTAGTTATGATTGGAAAAGCAAGAGGGTTCTTCATTATTCTGAAATCAGCATGGGAGATCTATAGAACCCAGCACAGAGATAAATATACAAATTATCAAAACCATTGTCAAATCAACTGGTATATCAATACAGTTCAGAGATTTTATGAGTGTCACCAATTACATTTCCAACAAAATGACATAAAGAAGATCACTTGAAGAGAGAATGAATGCTTATGGGAAGTCATGTAGCCGTCTAAAAAGCAACGTCCAATGTACAGCCTCTCACTCGATGACCTAAATGACTTGTGATAACACTCGAAGGTCTCTAGTCAGGGAAATAACTGGTGGAGGATATGAAGAAACTTGAATCAAAGTAGTATCCAGATTAGTTGAGAACAAATTTCTACTAGTGTCACAAATATCGACATGTTTGTGTCACCGGGCGTTACGTTATCATAATTAGTTTGAAATTCTCAAAACAATGCATATATACATGTCTTGTTAAATGTTAACTCTACGAGTTGATGCCATATTTCCTTTGCTCACATTTTAGGCCCTAAATTCTCTACGGTACTTAAATCTATTCAGTTGCTAAGTGAACACATGAATACAGGACCACAAGACATGACTTATTTCATTTTTTCTAGTATTCAAGTACTTCACTGAATGGCTCCTGAAAAGAAAGCGAAAAGAAACCTCATTTCCTAGCATGAAACCTCATCACTTTACAACTTTTATCCATAAATTCTTGATTACGCAACACTGAAGTCGAATTTTATTCACACTACTGAAAACTGGATTCTTGCCGAAAGAAATAAGGTCTACTTGAGTGTGTGTATTAGCTATTCAGTGAAAAAGGAACGAAATGGGTATTTTGGTAATAAAGCAAATGATGACATACATGATCTAACACACTGCGTGTGCCCCCATCATAATTACATCAAATAAGTCTTACTGCAAGTTGCGGTGTTTGAATCGTGCAACCTGTTCTGTAGATCATGTCAAGCGTGGTGGTTGACTAGGGCGGTACATTCAAAACGATAAAACACACAGCTATTTTAAATCTGTGCAGTCCTGACAAATGCATTTGTAGAGTTTTTGCTAAAGGTTATATATGGACATACTGTGCATCATTTGCAGTACCATTTAATTTGTTTATTAGATATATCACACAGTTAAACAGTATTATTTACTGGATGAAAAAGTTTCGAACGCAATTTATTGTTCGTAATCATATCATCAACTATAATCACACGACTTCGAAAGTTTCGTTTTATAGTTTTCTTTATTCCTTCCTAATTGTCAAAGGCGTAGTGAAATTTTCCAGTTGTCCGGGACAGGTGTTGAATCATTTCTGTTACATGTGTTTGCAATTGATTTGATGAACAAAGCTTCTGTTATCAATCTTTCCCTACATCCTGTGACATTAGATTTTAAAACTGTCATACTATCCCATCCTATTGTATGATTGTGTCTAATTGCATGTAGTGAGTGGTATAGCCGAACTATTCTCCAGATTTTTCACCCTATTTAGATCAACCAATTTACATGTTGCCATGTTGTAGTGCTTCGCTAGTCCCATGTACCCTGTTCTACTACTTTAACCTATGAATTTTATCTGACAATCATTGCAGGCATCGTATTAGATAAACTAAATTATTTTCTTTAAATGGCTTTGTCAACCAAAGGATCCTGTCAAGTAATACTGTAGACAATTTCTAAACTGACTGTGAATACCGTATGAGGAAACATATGAAATGTAAATATGTACCAACACAGTAAAGCTGAAAAGTGGTTTTGACCCTACACAACTCTCCACGAGTGTTTAAATAAGTCTGGTCAACATGAAATAAATTGATTTTGGAAAAAATACCCAAATTATATCCATTGGGCTGTAGGTTTCCACGTTACCGTATGACACCTGGGAATTATGAGTTTCACTGATAAATTTATGTGACTTCAGATTTCAAAAACCTATAATCACAGGAAGTGATTGTAATCAACCCATACAAAGACTATTTAAGTAAAAAATTTCAATGATATAAAAACGTTAAATTGGCTTAAATCTTCAGGTCAAAACTTAACTTTCAATAGCCAAACGAAATTCGCTTCATATCACCTTCGTTTATCTATTGTTGTTTCAGTCTGTAACGACTAGCTGTCAGTTTGTCATCAGTATGCTCCTCAAACATATTGATTTATGTCTTAAAAGGTTCGATCGTTAACTAAAATCAATTAGACAACCATTGCATTATTCACCCACCTGGAATCCAACCCGGGACCCTCCTATTACAAGGCAAGTGTACTCGTCAATCATTCAACCACTGAGACCCTATCCAATGGCCAGCCCATTAATTCCAACTTCTACCATTTCATGATATATATATATATCATATAACCGACAGTTCATGATCGAACCCAGTGGGTGCATACTTCTAAAGAGTTGCCAACTAGGATGAAACAGCTATCCAGAATTCCCTGCAGGTTTTCCAATGGTTGTCTAACTGATATCAACTGGTGATCAAACCTGTAAACAATCAAATCTCTGCAAACTACAAGTTGAAAATTATCTCATTTAAACCAACTTTCTATGTACTTTGATTCACTGTAGGGAACAGTACTCAATGCAGATCTAAGCATATCATTTAGGCAATTCCAATACATATAGATACATACATCCTTATCTTTAAGCAACTCTTCGAAAAATTATTTGTAACATTGATGTTTGCGGGAGATTTATATTTTGTTTGATTGTATGGTCAATAAAATGACCTTAGAATTTATCTATCTCCTGAAATGAAATACACATAAATATTGATTTCCTGTACTCTATCTCATGGTAGCCGATATATATTTTTGTCTTATTTGTTCACAGAAAGATATTTTCAGCTAGAAGCTTCAAAAGTACCAAACTGTGATAGATAGTTGTAAACTGATGGTCAGTAGATCTGGTCAAGTTAAAATACAGCGATTATATGGATAGATCTGTCTATCTGTCAAAAACACCGGTGACATTCATCTAGATGATCCGTGAAAAGAAGTCTACACTGTACACTCAAAGAGCCTACATGTAAATGTGTGTGTGTGTGAGCAGAAGACAAGTAAATTCACGAAAGAATGAACTTCAGCGAAATCAGATAACCAGAAAGGAACAGTACTCAACACTCATCTGATTTTCCGTGCTAAAGTTTATTCAAGTACAGAATAAAAAGTGTGACAAATTAGTCTTAAAAATACCATGACGCTTATAACAAGAATGTAGCAACCAGGCAGTTATACTTCTCAATAATAATGAGCGTACTTTGAATGCTGAACAGAAGCATCATGCTGTTAATCTCTTGGTGTAGTGGCAGAAAGTCACTTCGTATGTAAAAGACCCTACTCTTTATTAAAATTAAATTCCTTGGCGGTCTGAGTGGAACATGGGGCTTCTAGCCTCAGTAGCAGTAATGTTGATTTTACGGGGTAGAGGGTCGCTAGTCCCACGCACAAGCCTCTACCTTCCTACCGGGTTTACTGCTGGCCAAGTGTTGAACTTCAGACCACGTGAGGCGTGCTTGGCGAGTATTCTACGAATGAACTCCTAGACGGAATTCCTATTAAATGGGATTACTTCAAATCACAATTGCACCAAACTACACTGGATATATAGTATGAAAAAAAGTCAATCACTTATGGTCAGGTTAGATAATACGAAATAGATTTCACCTTTAAACTCACTGGTAAAGAGTAACGTGCAAACTTTTTAATTCGACTATATTTACTTCTTATTTTATCATCATCATCATCATTATCATCATTATCATTGTCGTCTAAATCCTTTGTATCAGAGACAAGAACAACTGAATGACTTTCACATCGTGGTCTATTATAATAGTTGACAGGTGGCATAGTATTCTCATCATATGACAAGGTATCATCAGGTATATTTATTTCCAAGTGTTGTGTAGCAAATGACACCCGTTGGAAAGAAGTACTTCGCGTTCTTTTATTATTAGCATCAACAGCATCAGCAGCGGCAGCTGTCTCTTCACTATTTTGTCCATCATCAACAAAGATATCAGAGCTATCAGTCGCCGCTTCTTCTTCATCAATAACATCACCTATCTGTGGAACTTCTTGTTCAGATAATTGGGGAGATACTCGATAGGGTGAAAGCAGTTGTTTACCTTTTGGAGAGGAAACAGACAGCGAATGAGTGCTGGTGAATATTGGAGAAGTCACCTGGTTATCCTGATGTGAACATTTACGTCTTGTTAGACTGTGCAGCAGCGATGAATGTTTAAGTCGGAAAAAATTAAATCTCAGTTTAATTTGTGTATCTAGTGAATGTTTCTTCTTAATATTTTTATGAGTAACATCATCCTCATCATCATTATTGTGATGATTATTGTTGTGTTGAACAGTTTCATACTCAATACTATCCGGCCGGGTGACAACACCAATCCGACGAGTCGATTGTCTTGCCTCTGATATTACTTCACTGTCATCAGATGATAATATTTCATTTGTAGACGTCATAACTGTCGATTCAGTTGACATGATTTTATATAAAGCACACTAGATTATTGATTGATCACAATTGATGATTACATTTTAAGGTTTTAGAAAAAAAAGGGATTAAAATTATCCATGTGCTTGGTTTTATTACATCATGACAGTTTGTTATGTTTAGAAATCGTTGAATGATTTACTAAGAAGTGTATATTATTTAGCCTAAAAGAGTATTCCGACCAATCAGAGTTGGATTTTTTTTCTAGAACAAAAGGCCATAATCAAATCAGAATTTCCGACAATTCTGATTGGTCAATGAAGCATATACTCGCCAATGACATTGGCTGATGGTCGCGCCTAATATTGCGAATTGATAGAAGTCGGTATTCATACGCCATCAGAGCGAATTTGGTTTGTTACCGGAAGATCCTAAGTTCGAAACCTAGTGAATGCGTACTTCTGAAGACCTCTAGACTGTAATGAGACAGATGTCTAGTACTTCCACCTGGTTTTCAATGTTTTCCTAACTGGCATCATTATGTGATCAAATTTGAATTTTAAATTCTGCTGTCCAGCAACAAAGTCCTTTTTCTTGATGTTAAACTTGCAAGAAGGCTGGCTAACTGATAAGTTTCAATATTTGAATACCAACTGGAAATAAACGGAGCCTAATAATCTCTCTTGCTACTCGTGTCTGATGCATTTGCAACCCTGATGCTCTAGAGGAAGAATTAGACTTTTTGAAACAAATCTTCACCCTGACATGGATTACCGCCAGGATTTATTGACAACAGCATCAAGCCGGAAATTCAAAGGCAAGAGATATCAGCGTCAAAAATGAACCTTAACTTTAAAGGTGACCTACTCGATGATGTTCTTAAGAGAAGCATTTCGTCTGCTTTACGAAAAACCTTTCTTCTCAGTAACGCTTCGGAGTAGTATTCTCCAGTCGTCAACTGGTATATAGAAACCCAAAGGATAGAATCTCACATCTGACCAATTCTATTTCTCTAAATATCAGTTCATCTTATCGTCTGACGTGGATCATTTCTGAATGTATTTGAGAACACTTTCCCATATGGTTGCAAAAAGGCGGCGCTGGCTCTTTGAGGAGTCTGATAAGTGAACATCTTGTGAACACTGGCCACTTCATCTCAACAGACGTCTCCTCCAAGGTTATCTACAAAGTTTTCCAAGAGTTGATTTGTAGGGATTTTATTTATCTTTCAAATTTGACCAAGGACTGATATCAGTTAGAGAACCATTGAAAACCAGGAAGTACTGCTCAACAGTTTCGTCATAGTTTGAAACTCATTGGCGGCACGCATCCACTGAGTTACGAGGCACACTTGCCTTATCGGGAGTGAAGACAAATGCTCGCCGATGACATTGGTTGGTGCCAGTCGTCCTAAACATCGCGAAATGGTAGAGGTCAGAATACATGAGCAGGCCACTGAATCAGATCCCAGTGGCTAAATGGTATACGAGCTTGCCTTATAACCAGAAGGTCCTGAGTTCGAACCCTGGCGGTAGGTGTGTGCTACTGATGAGTCCCGAACTAGGCTGCGGAAATAGCTGTCCAGTACTCCTACCTGGTTTTCAGTGATTTTCTAACTGATATCAATCCTTGATCAAACTAGGAAAACAGATCTACAAATTGAAAAGTAATCTGTCTGAGACAATCCTCTCCCCCCTGCTTTGAAGTTCTAGCCATCCAGATGGAGAAACTGTAGCTGAGTACAGGAAGGAGAATCTTTCATCCACTTCTATTATCATCATCGGTAAAGACCTTATTTGTTTTCTTTTTCTAACCTTTTCTGAGTTATCTATCCTTCCCGAGCCCTTTGTTTCTATCTGCATTCTTATTACAACTTATTTATTGAATTATTTATCTCATTACGTAATTCTATGGTCCTTATTCAACTTCTCATAAGTAATGATTAATATTAGCAACAATTCCCTTCGTTCATATATCTCCTTTTAATAAATCTTTAATGCTCATTATTTAAATGTTGATCTGAAGAGAAATTTACGCTTTTCGCTCAGAGAAACGAAAAGAAAGGAAGGGGGGGAGGGATAATTTTATTAACACATTTGTATGGATATACTTGTGTTAGCCTAAAGAGATTTGAAAAGAAAACACACTCAGAATTATTCTTTAGATGCTTAGTTCACACCTTTATATTGCAAAAATGATTTTGATCACTAATGAATGTATGCACGAAAGAGGAATTTAAAATTGGAGATCAGTAAGGCCTCAGGGTGAAATGAAATAAGTGGAGGCATAATATCACTAACAATAGCAATAATATTAATAGTAATAAGTCCGAATAGTATAAATGGAAAATTGACCAGTATTGAAAGAATGCTAGAATGAAGGGTATAAACTACAAGACTAAAACAGGGTTCAAACTGTTGTTAAGACGAAGATAAAAAGGATCCAAAGTATAATAAGCGTCGGTGGCATAGCGGTTAGGACGCTCGCCGACCATGCACATGGTCCGGGGTTCGATCCCCGGCCAACGCACTCCTTTACCTCGCTAAGCCAGAAGTAATGCTGGTGAAGAGGAAAGGTTTGGCATGAGGCTGGCTAGCAACCCCACTATGTAAAATAAACACTGCTACAGAAACTTCAAGCTTGTAGCTTGAAGCCCTATGTCCCACAGGGGAACGTGAAAGAAAAAAAAGAATAATAAAAAGTATTGGTTTTGTGGTGATTGTGTTTGATTGGTTGGAGGGTTTCATCATGAACTGACATCAGTTAGAGAACCATTGGAAAGCCTGTAGAGTGTACTGGACATCTGTTTCGTCCTAGTTTGGGACTCTTCATCAGTATGCACCCACCTCCATGATTCGAACCGATGACTTTCTGGATACAAGGCCAGCGAGCTTGTAGGCCACTACGCTACTGGCACGCGATCCAATGGCCAGCCCATGAATTCTAACTTCTGCCAATTCATGAAATAGCGCGACCACTTCGCAATATCTTCTTCAATGGGTTACTGCCTCACCTTCAACCTGCTGTACCCTACTGGTCACGGCTTCTCACCAGAACCCCGGGATAATTACCTGAATAGGGCCAGTCACTAGTGAGCATCAGATTAATTTTCAAGTATTGGTCTTGTAGGAGTTGTGTTCGATTGGTTGGAGGGTTTCATCACCGTGTTCGCACCCCGGTAGGGGGCGTACTACTGAAGGGCCACAAACTAGGACGAAAGGGACAGCTGTCCAGTGTTCCCTGCAGGTTTTCCAACGGTTCTTTAACTGATGTCAACTCATGATGAAATCCTCCAACCAATAATAAAACGATCAAAATAAAAATGAGGTAAAACATTGAGGTACTCTTAGAGAGGGCGGAAGAAAAATTCCCGTAGTCAAAGTTTAGTCTGAACGTATTCATTTTTGAATGCAAACTTCCGGTTTAGTCTATCATATTGTAACAGCTTCAGCTATATGTAGAAGACGCAGGCGATCTGTGCGTGATAATGATCTCCGAAGGCTATGTTAGCATCGATACAGAGTCTGTGCTGTATCCATCACCTGTGATAGAATTGAGCTTTTCATGCATATAATTTCCGCTTCAATGAACCAAATTGGTAAATATTGTCAAGCCCATAGACGAACCTGCCTAATTTTATGCCCTATATAACTTGAGCCACAGGAATAGTTGAAACGGTATTTATATATGGGAAAGAGGTAAGATTAGGCAAGATGTCTTTCAGTTTTGGGGTGAACATTGAACGGTTCCTGAGAGATAGGCACAGGTGTACAGAGTAGAAAGCCTTCTTTATCGCTCTGGTAAGACGTCGGGACCAAATCTCCATAGGAGTATCTTCTATGAATTGTCGACATAAAAATAATGACTTTTTCTCCACCTTCGCCAGTTCATGTTTACGACTATTTTAATCTACGTTGGCTTCAATAAACTGCTCTGGATATCCGTTCTCGCTTAGAATATCCCAGATGACCTGGATATGAGTTCTTTCTCCACACAGTCTTCCGAGTAAATCGATCAAATAACGTTTGTATTACATCGTTTCGAAGACGATGAAGAGCATGAATATGGCTATTTGAATAGATCCATATTCTCTCCTCGTTATTAAGATGTCGAGAAAATGGAGATAGTCATTGTATTCTCCTTCTTAGATGAAATAGACTTTGTGGGTAAGCACTATTCAAATAGCTGGAAATCAATTCATTACGTAAACCTTCCTTGTAGACAAACTAAAGTGTCATCCATGTAACTGACAGTACACTTCCATTTTTGCTATTTCATCTTTCAACGGACCATTTTTTCCGTTTTTTGATAGAAATATGTTCACAAATATAGGATCTAGTGGAAATACCATGGAGACTCTGTCAACCTGTTTGTATATTTCATTATTAAACAATATAATTAAGTGTTTAGGCGTTGTTTCTACCATGGTTATACTTGGGTAGAAATTTCTTCTTCCCTTTCTTAGAATACCTCTCCCTCTTATCCCCCCTTTTTCTTTCTTTTGCTTTGTTCATTATTACTTTTTGTTTCTTTTTTGTCATCATCCTAGCAACAGTTTTAGCCACTTTTGATTTTATAATTTTATACTCAAAAATAGCTTCTACAAAAGGTGCATTGAGAAGTTGCGTTTTTCGTATCATTCTGAAGCATATTCACTGATGTCACAAAAGTTTCTTCTAACATTGTGTTTATTGCAATATAATAACTATTTAAATTTTAATGTGACTAAAACACTATGCTGAGGACATCGACTAAAAGATACTCATCAGAAGTACATACCCACAGGCAAGGTTCGAACCCAGCACCTTCCAGTTATCAGACTAACGAGCTCGTAGACCATTCAACTACGGAGAATCGACTCAGCGGCCAATGAATTCTACCGATTCGTGAATTTAGCGCGATCACTAGCCAATGTTATCAGTGAGTATTTGTGTTCCTACTCGACCTAGGTGGACTCCACTGGCCGCGACTTCTTATTGGGACTCCAGGCAACTTCGTTCTGCAGTCAGTCCTCAATGAGCATCAGATATGTATAAAAGACTGGTATATTTAGCGGTTAAAAGGCTTAAAAGACAAATCGATATATATGTAAAACATGGTCACTGTGGTAGTAAATAATTCCATATGAAATTGCTTAAAAGACAAGATTCATCATTAGAAATTCACTGATAAGGAAATGAAAGCTGAGATTTGGTGTATTTTTATAATT